GAAAAGTAGCAACAACTTTGTTATTTTAAATGGAACACCCTGTATTTTATTGCATCTTCAGATTCTCTCTGAAGAGCTGATTTCATCGATATATCACACTTGGGGTTTAGCGGAAATGATTACAGAGATATAGGGTGTGAAAAATCGACATTTTTCAACTTAAGGAATTTTTTTTGTCGAAACTATTCATTATTGGTCAAAACGGCTTACATGTCCCTATCTCAACTTTTGATTAACTATCTACTGATATTTAATTGGGACATATACCGGGTGATCAAGAATCTGAATTCTGCACCACCATTTAAAATAACAAAGTTGTTGCTACTTTTCGATAGAAGCGGCAACGCCGCAGAGCTGAAAATATTTTAGATCGATAGATCAAGAGCAATTACTTGAGTAACCAAATTTTCAGAATGATCTTATGTCCCGTTCTCCGTAAACGTCTAAGATGCCATCGACCGTGACCCACCCTGTATATAGATGACAAGCTGAATTTTGAGATGCATATTGATCATCTTGCAAAAAAACTTGCATCTAAATGTTTTGCAATAAGAGTATTGAGAAGAAACTTAAATTTGGAGGCTCTGAAAACAGCATATACTATGGGATCGTTTATCCGTTTCTGAAGTATGGAATTTTGATATGGGGTGGAAGTACTCATTTAGAACGTATTTTTCTAATGCAAAAAAGAATCATGAGAACTAGGCTGAACATGAAATACACAGAATCTTGTCGTGGTATTTTCAAACATCACAAAATGCTAACGATATATGCGATTTATATTTATGTATGTGTACTTTTTGTACATGATAATAAATCAAAATCCGAAAGGGACACATACAAACATGAATATCCCACCAGGCAAAAATCAAATTACATTATTCCTAAGCATAGATTAAAAAATACTGAGAAAGGACCGCACTATGCAGCTATTAAATTTTATAACTATATACCCTTGAAGATCAGAGTAGACTGTATAAAGAAAGGAAGTTTTAAAAAACATGTTTTGATCTATTGTGTGATATAGAACCATATTCACTACAAGAATTTCTTGAAAAATAACTTAAATTATTGTTTTTTTTTTATTATGTGATACCTACCTATATAATTCTTGTTGTACATGTTATGTGTTATGTGTTCTTTTACAATAATATTGATCAACTGTGATATTTTAATCAATTCAATTTAGTGTTAGTTAAGCTATATTTTCAATCATTCAACTTTTGACGACAATTTACACATATATTTATATTTATAAGTTTGTAATATGACTTGAGTTTTTCAACTGTTTTAAATTGAAAGCTTCAATAAATCTATCTATCTATCTATCTATCTATCTAACCTTACTTTTCAGCTACAATATCAAGAAATGGAAAGGGTGATATTTAGTTTAGTAGCATTATTTACTGCACATATAACTCCACCACCTCGACTTTGGTTCAGTACCCTGTAGTTTCTGTCCTCTCTAAATGTTTCAGTCTTCAAAAATAATTCGCTATCATGAATTCCATGATGTAGCCATGTCTCCGTAAGGGCAATCACATAGTAGCTCGAGTTGAGCGTGTAAATATAAAAGTCTTCTATTTTGGTCCATAAGCCTCTCACGTTTTGATAATAGGCCTCTAGTGTTTTATGGTGTGTTATATCAGCCGTTGTAATTGATATATTGTTTATGTCGCTCAAGTTTTTTCTGTAGGCTGGGAATATAGGGTATCTATAGAGACAACAAAAATTAACAATGATGAGATGATAAATGAACACTAGAACACATTTTTTTTCTCTGACGGGAAAAAAGTTCGACATTTTATCTTTGTTAACAGGTTACAAAATGTTACTTTTCATCAATTACTTTTTTCAAAAGGGAAAAAAGTGAGTACTTTTCTCCCGGATATACAGGCTGATTCACGGTGGATGGCACATTAGACGTTTCTGGAGAACGCAACTCAGGATTATTCTGGAAAGTTGGTGCCTCGTGCCTCGGATAATTAGTTGTGTTCTATCGACTTGAAATATTCCCAGTGTTGCGACGTTGCCGCTTATATTGAAAAGTACCAACCACTTTGATTATTTAAATGGGACACCCTGTATATTATTCCATTTTCAGATTCGCCCTGAAGAGCTGATTCTATTGACCTATAACACTTGGGGTCTAGTAGTAATAAATTCAGAGATATAGGATGTGAAAAATCGAGATTTTTAACTCTAGGGCCAATGATGAATAGCTTCGACACAAAAAGTTCTTATTAAAAGTGTAAAAATCTCGATTTTTCACATCCTATAACTCTTGTATTTATTACTGCTAGACCCCAAGTTTTGAAGGTCAATAGAATCAGCTGTGCAGGGTGAATCTGAAAATGGGATAATATGCAGGGTGTCCCATTCAAAAAATCAAAGTTGTTGCTACTTTTCAATATAAGCGGCAGCGTCGCAACACTAAGAATATTTTAGGTCCATAGAACACAACCAATTATCCAAGGCATCAACTTTTCAGAAAAATCCTGAGTTGCGATTTCCAAAAACGTCTAATGTGCCATCAGCCTGTATAGGCGCACTGTTGATGGCTTTTGTTGTGCCAGTTCCGAAAAATAAGCCAATAACACTTTCTCCGAAAAAGAACTGCAAGTTCTGTCATCTTCCATACCGGTTACGTAAATTACTAAATTCGGAATTATTCAAAATCAAAACACATAAATAGATTTTTCAATTTAAACTGAAATATAATCATACTTTATATTTGACACAGTGCCGGCTAGATTATTGTTAAACGATTTCAATATGCCATATACTCGGCTATAATAAGTAGACGATTGTATGGCGTAGGTGGAAACATAATAGGAATTGACACTATTTTCCCAGTTTTGGCTGAATTATAGGCAAACGTATACAATATTCCGTACAATGGGCCGTGCAGCTTGGCCATTGCCAGCAATCTGCTGATCTAACATGTACTGGGCCAAAAGGCGGCCAGAGATTTGATGCTTGCTGGGATATTTGATAACTTCAAAAGAATGATAAAGATTCCTGCAAAAATATGCCTGCAACGCAGGTGTAATTCTTGTTGAAATGTTCAAATTTCACGTCGATATTTTATGATTTCGATATAATGTAATATCTTCTCAATATTGATTCGTCCTTCTTCCTGTCACAAAAAAGTGTATTGTTACGTTATTCGGGTGCAGAAGCGAACACGACACTATTTATATCCGAACTGATTTATTTGAACTATAGAAACATTAATTTATATCGAACTTATAACTACTATTTATGTAAAACGATTTATAACACGCTGTATATACCTGTCTCTCTGACACTCGCTGTTTGACTGACTGACTCAGTTCTTCGGCCGTCTTATATATGAGAACACTTGGCAGGCTTTGGTTCGAGAAGGTTCTCGAATGATCTTCCGTCTCATTCTTTCTGTTCTAGAAGATTCTTAGAACAAAACCTCTCTCTCTAATTGTTCCATCGATTGTTTCCAGAACATTCCAGAATCTTCTGTGACGTTATTTGTCACTGTGGCATATATTGAGTGTTCGGAAATATGCTGGTGTATGTAGGAATCATTCAGAGGTTGGAGAGCAATCTGGGATGCGTGATACAGGATGATCGTTGTACTCCTGCCTTCCTGCTGATGTTTCTAAAGCCCCTCCAAGGGGAATATCATAACAGTATTATGAACGGGAAAACTAATGGATTTTAGCTCACAACCTAGTGCTAAAGTCTACTATTTTTTCCCTTGTATAATCAATAACTATTCCCAATCAGCCCATATCACTCATAGTTCATAGCAGGAAGCGGAAAATCCAAAACATATTTCAACGGTCACTACCAGAGTTATGTGTTTGTAAAAAAAATGTAGGTGGCCATGTATATTTTTTCAGTGATTTTATTGATTCTGTAAGCTTCAACACTGAACAAGACCAAAATTCAGGAATTTTTTAATCACTACAAATTGTTTGTATACACCGTGTCCCAGCAAAAATGTCTCCCCCTGTAAAAAATCAACCGCGCAATCGAATGGCTTGAAATTCGGTCACCCAGTATATTTGATGATGATCACTCGAAATATGCTATTGAATAAATCCTAGGTATATAGGGTCACACCGAAGTGCACCTCAACTTTCTTATTTGAATAGGGACACCCAGTATATTATTCCATATTCAAGTAGACGTCATTATTACAAATTCAACAATGCCGGGTTTGATGGGATTTTTTCAAACGACTACGAAGATATGGCAAAATAAAATGATTTAATGAAAAATGTATAATTATGATTTTATTAGTATAACACGATTGAAATGGACTGATGGGTGTCCTGCACATAACTACACACCCGTAAAGAATTATCTTCGCCATCGGTTTAGAGAAAATCTAATAACCACCAATTGTTTCGATGGTGATAGCAACTGGCCAGCTCGACCGCCAGACCTCACCCCACTTGATTTTTATTAGTGGGGCTACTTGAAACAGTTTATGAGTCGCCAATTGTGAATATGGAAGAACTGAAATAGAAAATCATAAATTTATGCGCACAAATTGATCGCAACGTGATACATAGGGTCACAATGAACGTTATCAAAAGAGCTAGGAAATCTTTACAGCAGAATGGACGACATATTGAGCAGTTGAGGTTTTAATTTTTTTTTCATTCTATTTCAATCATGTTATATTAATAAAATCTATCTTGCCATATCTTCGAAGTCGTTTGAAAAAATCCCATCAACCCGACATTGTTGAATTTGTAATAATGAACTCTACTTGAATATGGAATAATATACTGGGTGTCCCTATTCAAATAGGAAAGTTTAGGTGCACTTCGGTGTTACCCTGTATACCCACGATTTATTCAATTGCATATTTCGAGTGAGCATCATCAAATATACTGGGTGACCACATTTCAAGTCATTCGATCGCACGGTTGATTTTTTACAGGGGGTACAGTTTAGCTGGGACACGGTGTATATACGAAGCTGTCTGATACACCCATTTTTTTTTATAGATTCCTGGTTTATTGGAGGCATTGAGTAGACCAGGAGGAGTATGTTCAAATTACTCTCCGAAATATGTGAATGGAACATATGAAGCTCTGAAGAAAATCAAGTCAGGAAATGCCATTTTTACTTATCCCAATTCACCAGTTAAATGTCCTGGTGCACCACAAAAAATATGTTACCTAGTTGACCATTATTTAAGAAAGGTAAAGATCTATCAAGAACTTATTAGACACTATCAGTAGGTATTAATGTTTATCTTTGTTGATAGGAGGGAAAAAGGAACGATGTGAAAATAACGTACAATAGTTCATTGCCTGTGATATTTGGCGTAAAGAAATATGCCGATGCTTTATGGAAAGTTGTTGAAGATCGTGATATAAATGTGAATTTGAGGACCAATTTGATCGAGATAAATTCTGATAAGCAAGAAGCTACATTCCAAAATTTAGATAAACCAGAAGAAAAAATGACTATGGAGGTATTTATCTATTTATAATTGCATCAATCGTTATTTTTCTCGTAACTTTCATACAATAACCGTGTCCATATAAACCGAGTTAGTGAGAGCAAAGTTGAATGCTTTCATTGTATAGAGAAATCTAGCCAATATTATATTACTCCGAGATGTACAGGGTATCCCACATAACATGGGCCACCCCCTTATCTGGTAAACTATTATATATACACAAAAAAGTTCATAATAAAAGTTGTTTTACTTCTTATGAAATTTATTTTTTAGATACTTTCATTTATACAGGATGGTCCATATGTCTGTGACTTATCACACATACGTTTTTTCGAATAGAATACCCTATATTTTATCATATTTTTAGATAGTACTTAAGAAGACGAGTTCAATGATATATAACAACATGGGTCTGAGATCACCCGTTTCGGATTTATACACGATCTTCTTCAATAAATTGCCAAATTTCGAAGCCCTATAGAAACGTTGCGAATGAAGTTTTCGATTCGCAGTTTCCGCTATAAATTAACAAAGTCTGTATATTATTCTGTTTTATGGTGAAAATTTAGGAATTTTCAATTTGCCAAAAGTGATGACGTATTTTGAAAACCAATAAATATCTCGAGATTTTCAAATGGAACACCCTATATTCCATTCCAAATTTGCATAGAGCGCAGGAAGACGAGTTCAATGATATATCATAACATGTGTCTGATATCACCCGTTTCGGACTTATACACGATCTTCTTCAATAAATTGCCCAATTTCACAGCCCTATAGAAACGTTGTGAATGAAGTTTTGGATTCGCAGTTCCCGCTATAAATTAACAAATTTTGTATGTTTTCTTGATCCATGGTAAAAGTGTATGAATTTCGCATTGGCCAAAAGTGATGATGTATTTTGAAAAACGATTATTTTTTACAAATTTTCGAATGGAACACCACCCTATATCATTCCATCTTTGAATGAAGCTCAGAATGACGAGTTCAATGATATATTATAATATGGGTCTGAGATCACCCGTTTCGGACTTATACACGATCTTCTTGAAAAAATAATCAAATTTCAATGGCAAAATTCTGACTGTTATCTTCATATTAGATAAAAAAAATTGTAATTTCTGTGAAACAATTCGTAATAAAGAGTTTTGAAATAAACGAATATTATCGAAATTTTTATGTAATGTTATAATATATTTCACTGGAAAACATTTTGGAAATGATTGAGCACAGGTTATTACAATTGAATTTCACCTACATTTGACTCTATACGAGACCAATGCGGGGATATTCAATTAATAAAATGTATTTGAACATTTTTTTTTATTGTCTGCCTTATCAATTCGGATGCATTCATTGCAATAAATGTCATTTCCACATAAAAATCGTATATCTTTCATACTGTTCAACATTTTTCATTGAATTCTCAATGAATAAACACTGGGCATAAGTAAATGATCGAAGAGAAAACCAAAACTCAAAGTGGAATGACATGCCAACGTGAGCTGAGTAGGCTGTGCACTCATAGATGGGATTTTTGTTTATGTCATATCAATAACTGTCAAACCCGATTATTTATTGTTGAATTGGTGCAGAGAAACTCTTTCAAAATGCATATTTATTCTAAAGAGAGATTTGATCTTTATGAGTGCTATTTATTAAAAAACAGAAATACTGTGCTGGCTTTGAGAGAATATCGTGACCGTTTTCCACAAAGTGTCGTACCGAACAAAAAAATATTTCAGAGAATAGAGAACGATATCCGAACAAAAGGTATTCTCAAACCGAATAAGAGAACTAGAGGAAATGTAGTTTTGACCGAAGATCGTGTATAAGTCCGAAACGGGTGATCTCAGACCCATGTTATTATAGATCATTGAACTCGTCTTTCTGAGTTCTATGCAAATATGGAATAACATATAGGGTGTTCCATTTGAAAATCTCGAGATAATTATTGGTTTTCAAAATACGTCATCACTTTTGGCAAATTAAAAATTCCTAAATTTTCACCACAGAACATGATAATATACATACTTTTTCAATTTATAGCAAAAGTTGCGAATCGAAAACTTCATTCACAACGTTTCTATAGGGCTTTGAAATTAGACAATTTATTGAAGAAGATCGTGTATAAATCCGAAACGGGTGATCTCAGACCCATGTTATTGTAACGGTCCAGTAGACTATTCATGTCTACCTGTCCATCACAGAAGTATTCCACTCACAATATGCTACCAAACAAGTATTTTTCATCAACACAATCACCAAGAACAAAATGTAACTGTTTTCAATAACCAAATATTATCAGTACCATAGAGAAAAACCCAAAGTCAGTACCTTAGTAAATAAATTCCTATTCGCGTTGGACGTCCTTCACACTGTATCAGCACGTATTTAATATCCAGATGCCACCTGTAAAGGATTTCATTTCATGATGTGTTTTCAAGTCCATGTTTATTTTTGGTAAACAATACAATACTCGCGATCAGCTGACTGAGCCATTAACCTCAATCCTGATTCTTCGTTTTAAATTTGCACGGCCTCAGCGTAAAAATTACTTTTACCTAATTAATCATTGGCAATAGTGAACTCTGCGCGCTCTTCAAGCACTCAGCCTAGTTCACACCACACTCGATAACCTGAAACGGAACGCGGTTCCGAAATGTCAATTACAACTTGTAGCCTATTGTAATAGGGATTCTTTGAGAGGATCGAGTAGTGGAGGAATGAAACGTTCTCTCTCTAATGGCGCTTTGCTGTGTTAGCATGCCACCTTTTGAGCTGAAAATTATTGTTTTCAAAAGGCACGTCCATTTATGATGAAGGCCGATTTACAACTCTAGGCAAGTTACTAATATATTTATTTTCAAAATTATAATAAATTATGTATCGTGTCATATCGGAATGTCTTGAAAACACTATCATAATGATTTCATTTCAGGCCTTCAATCTTCATCTTCAACCTTCACCTTTTTTTTTTGTCACATGGTAATGCCATGAAATCTTCATGTGCTATTTAAAGGCGGCTGCCTAATTTTCCTGAACCATGTATTATATTTATTAATGCTTATGGGGCATTAATACATTTTGTCTCTCCAACTGGATTCCTCCGGATTTTGTATCTCCGTGATGGATGTCGGTGAATAAAATAATGTTCACCTTGTATGTTTTCCTGAACCAATGCTGAGAAGGTACCCAGGACTAATGGATTATGGAAATTTCAATAAAACCACTGTAATTTTCTGGAAATATTTGGTAGTGGCTACATTACAGTAAGACTGGTGACTTACCTACTGTAAGTAGATTTTTCATAAAAATTTCAATCGTCAACGTGATGAGAAGAGGAGCCTCCACGTCTGATTAGTATTTATGATATTTCAAGTTCAATATTACTCTCTCCTTTTGTGAGAAACGGAATATCAGCGCTGATAGTTCATTTCATAGGGCCTTGTATCTTTTTCTAAATTCATAACACACCTTTAGGACATTCATTCATTTCATTTGCCACTGAAAAGCCACAGTGAGGCTTAATTTAAGATTTCTAGTAATACTAACCAACATTGACTAAAGTCAGATTGTTCAAGGAACAACTGCTGCAATTATTCATAAGCTCACTAATAAATTCAGAGATAAGTACTAACTAGTAATATTGTAGGCTTTAAGGGTGATGGTTCCCATTTAAATTTCACGTAAATACTGATACTGTTGTAAAGCAAGTGTAACTATTACTGCTGAGTATCTATTTATTATATGCATGGTTCCGGAACAACTCCTGTTGCATTGATATTTTTGTTTTGTCCCCTCCCTACTCCTTTCCCAGTTTATACTGGGTGGCGCCCACACTATCTTGTTTTGATTGTTCATGAAATTGAAATAATAAATTAAAACTTGACTTAGTTGAATCCACGACCACTCGCCTGACTCATGAGCTGTCGAGCATTGGGACCATAATTTCTATTCTGTGAAGTTACGTCACATAAAATTGGCGCCACAACGTCAAGGGCCTTTCAATTTCATTCTGAAAATAATTCACTTCATGAACATTTTATCATCAGAGCAAGATATTTTTTTTCTGTAACCTTCCTTTTTTTTCCTTGACAAAACAAAAGTATCACAGGATATACTTCTCAGTGTGTTTTGGAATTGATATTTTGTATTTACAGGATATTTTATATACGGGGTGATCACAGTGTGACGATCGTTAATTGTGTTTAGATAATGCATTGAAATAATATTTTGAAAAATTTTTTGAATACCCATATCAGGTGATCTTGAGTGAAAAATATCTATACAAGGTGTCCCAAATATTGGTAAGATATTCGATAAATAATTTTGATTGGAAACTTTGGTTTTCTGAAATACTTAGTGATTTTTTTAACTTGCTTTATATACAGGGTGTACTGCATATTGTGTTGTGAACGAGTGGCCATATTTTGCATATTAATTAGCGTGGTTTTCGATTTTGCAACAAGTTTTACTGAGTTTTCTTGTTTAAAAAAAATTTCAACGCCTCAATACTCAGTACAGGGTGTTGTCTGATTGACAGGCCATTGGATTTTTTGGTTGGAACTTTGAAACATGAGAGTCAATTATAATATTGATCCTAATCACCTTAGGACTAAGGAACTAAACTATGAACTGCTTATACGGGATGTTGCGGTTGATAGAGCTGATACTGATCAAAAGAGAAAATTTCTCAGAAGAGAGATTCGACAAGATTTAGCTAGACCAGACGTTGAATATACCACTCCTCACTTCAATTTTGAAACTGAACAATCTGAAATTGATGAAAGTATTGAATCCATTACAGACTTAGTAAACAATTTTGATGGTGTGAATGAAGAAATTTTTAAGAGAGTGAGAAGTCGCATCAATCATGTTTTAGGCCGGTTATATAGAATTCCCAAGAACTCTGCGGATGTTAGTATTTTGAATTATAGAGGTGATAATATTATTTTGACAAGTACACTGGAGGAAGATTTAACTGAGACTCGTGAACAGTATATTAAAGG